ACCTGGAGAATTAAGGGAGCAACGGCACCAAAATTGGACCCACGTCTGCCCCTCCCAGGACGGAGGAGTCGGAACCAGACGGGAAGATGACAGCCACCAGGGGACTGAGTGTGCAGAGGGCGGGAGAGAGGTGACGCCCGCGCTTCACCTCTGGGGACACACTGCAGGCTCCGGAGCTGGAAGGGAACCGAACTAACTAAAGACACAGCGGGCACGCTTCCGGCGCATGCTAGCTTCCCCCTCCCTCCCGCTTTCCACCTCTCTTTGAGGAAACTGAGGCAGGAAAATAACCTTCCTGGGAATCTAAACCTCCCCGCGTCACAGTCGAGGACAACAAGTCCCTGCCAATGAAGCGTTTCTCTTGCATACCTGATCACCACCGTCGCCGTGAGTGCGGTTCCTCTCCTTTGTCACTGCAGGGACACGGGAGCCGCCCGACGTTTGTGGTCATCACAGCACGACCCTGGCGTCCAGAGTTTGCGAGGGACAGCGCCTGGCCCCGGTCCTCCCCACTCCACTGGACGGCGGCCGAGCTCCGGCAGCCTCCGTCGCTGTCACCACCAGGTACCCTCGCGGGCATACTCAGGGGACAGCGCTGACCCGGCGGCACTCCCCCCAGGAAAACAGCCCCTCCTCTCCGGCCAGGGTCCCCCATGCCCCACTCCTGACCATAAAGGGCCGCCCACGGTAACCCCACACCAGGAAAAACGACGTCCCAGCAGTGCCTCTCCTAATGTCACACCGGGTACCGCGACTTCTCAGCCGGCGCCTGAGCAGGGCCGTCGGCCGCCGGGGGACAGCGGGCCCCCGTCGGGGGAAGCACTGGCCCGGGACAGTGTCCCCCTCTGCACACGCGCCCTCCAGCCCGGGGCCGCCGCTCGCACAGTCCCAGTCCCCTCGCGGTTGGGAACCAAGCCGACCCGCCAAGTCGGTCCTCTCAGCAGCGGGGGACCCCCGAGGAGCCCGAGGGCACCCTGGGCCTCTGGCCTGACTGGCCTCCGCTTCTGCACCCCCGGCGGGGGTGAGGACACAGACGACACCGCCAGCCTCCTTCGTCCCCACCTCCGAGGCCCGCGCGGACGTGACCGCCCGGAAGTCGCACCCGAGCACTGTCCCCAGACCGGCCCGCGCTCAGCCCCG